TATGTGTGTGATACGCATATACATTTATTTATACATTAATTATTGTAAAAAATTGGAGATATAGATATCAAGAAGAAAATGTGACTCAAAACCCCACCCTTTAAAGTTAATCTCATGGTTAAAGTTTCTATATTCCTCAACCATTTCCCATGCAAATATGTTTATATGCTATATATACTATCCTATAACTTGCCTTTCCTTTCACTTGCCAATATATTGTTAAATCTTCCTTGTCAATAAAAATATCTATACCATTTGAATGGTTTCTTAGTATCCCACAGCATGTATGTACCATAATTTATTCTTTTCTATTATTGGTCATTACATTTCCAAGTTTTTATTATAAGCAATATTGTGAAGAACCGTATCATACAAACATACATCTTTGTGCACTTATCCAATCAATCCCTCAGACAGTATTCCCAGTATACTACACCAAACGTTATGAATCTTTTTAAGGCTTTTGATTCTTATTGCTTACTTGTCCTCAAGACTTAAAACACTCACAAGCTGTTATTTCAGAAAGTTTCCTTCTTACATCCATGAAAATGCGTATTATTCTTTTTAATCTATACAGACAGGTAAACAGTAGCCTACTGTCTTTTTAACCAGCATGTTACTGATTTAACACTGATTTAGATGTCAGCTGTTCTAATTTATTTTGGCTGTACAAGTCTTTGATCAATATTATCTATTGGTTGGATATTTTCCTCATGAATTTGAGAATGCTTTCTATGAATTAAGGGTATTAAATTAGTCATGCAGTTGTAGTTTATCACAGTTTGTTTGCCTTGTAAATGTTTATGATATTTTTGCTATACCAAATTTAATGACTTGGAAAAGCAGCAAGGCTTTGCCTCCTTCTGCTTTCTTCTTCTGCATTGCTATGTGCAGAAGCAATGACAACGGCATTCATGTCTTATTCCTGTCTATAATGGGAAGGATTCCAGTATTCGCCACTAGGCACAATAGAGGATAAAATAGGAGGGAAAAAAATGGAGGAAAAACATTTCCTTTGCATGATAAAAACCAAATTAGGAATCAATTTTTCAATTTTATCAAGTGTCTTTTACATCCAAACAGCCATTGACGTTGTTTTTCTCTTTTAATGTATTAATACTAAAATATAAAGTATTTCCGACTACTGAATTCTTGGACTAAACCCTTGTCATAGTGAATTATTCTTACACACAGCCCACAAAGTAGTATACATACAGAAGCATAAAATGAATCTTTGTTCTATTTGCTGGTCACGTAACCTGGGACAAGTGACCTAATGTCCCTACCTCTAGGTTGCCTCATTTATAAAATGAGAATAGTAATGGTATACTTGCCTCACAGGGTTACTCTGAGAATTAAATAGGATAATGTGCTTGACACCTGGTGCATAACAGGCATTAACAGTAACTATTATTCTCATTAATATACTGTTGCATTTGATACTAATTTATTTGTGACTTTATCATGTACACAGGGCTGTCCAGAAAGTATCCAGCCATGGATACAAAGGATACATGGATACAATGGCTGAATACTTTCCGCACAGCCCTCATTTCTAAGTGAAATCAGCTCTTTGTTTTGGCAATCTACTTTGATATCTGGGTTAGCTGTTAAAAACACTTAGGAAGCTTTCCTCTGTTTCTGTACTCTGGGAAAAGTATTTTATAAAAAATTAACATTTTTGTAAAGTGTTGCTTGTTATAAGCAGCAAAGTAACCTACAAAATAGGCAAGTGATGTAATGAGAAGAGCAGTGGATAGGGAAGCTGGTGTCCAGCGTTCAGTTAGCCCCACCTCTGCCGTTGCCATGTGGGTCACAAGACTCCATACAATCTTTTTTTTAAGAGATGGGGTCTCCCTCTGTGGCCCAGGCTGGAGTGCAGTGGCACGATCACAGCTTACTACAGCCTTGAACTCCTAGGCTCCACAAACCTCCTACCTCAGCCTCCAGAGTAGCTGAGATTATAGGCGTGAGGCACTGTGCCTGGCAATACAAATATTTTGAACACTGAATATGTCTCTCCTGCCTCTCTGATGCCTCTGTCTGAGCAGATGTTAGACATTAGGAACAATTACTTAGTGCCCACTTGTTTTAATTATGGCTATTCCCAGGGAGAGCAAATATCACAGTGTACTTTTTAAATTATCACTACCACCCCAACATTTTAACTTAAATGAACATCAAGTGTAATAGAATGTCAGAAAAGAAGTACACAGAGATGATCCTGATACTTTCTCCTGTGAAGATTAGGGAGTTAAATTTAGTTAAATTACAAACTGAGTATAGATATGAAAACTTCTAATTTTCAAGAGTCACTGGTCAACGGTCCAGATTCACCAATAATTTTTTTTCATCCTGGGTTCACTCCCATATCACATTTAACTTCTAGGAGATCATCTGGAGGGTTTTCACATACAGATCGTAAAGCAGTAATATTCCAAATTTATCCAAATTATGCATTTTTCCTTTGAGATAGGACTTAGCTACTTTTGTTTACCCTCAATTTGGGATATTACCATTATTGGGAAGTTTTCATTCATTGAGACAAATGTAAATTCTCCATCCAAATTATACCATATTCATTTAAAAATTACTGATACATGAGTATCCAATGAAGATTACGGTAACGATGACTGCAAATCACTGTCATTTACAGGGCACTTACTATGTGAGAGGGATATGGCACTTCATGTTTATTGCATCACCCAATGCTCACTCTACAGGGTAGGTATTTCTATATCTTTCTTTAAACATACGACGAAACTGAAACTCAAAAAGGCCAAGTCACTTATCCAAGATACTGGGGCTAGGATTATAATTTAAGTTTCAAAACCCGTATTTTTACTATTTGTAATCAAATGGGCAACTTTAGTCATTCGATTCAATATGTAAGTACCTTTTTGTAATATTATGTGTAGCGTTGACAATGGAAAGATACTTTTTAAATATACCATTTTAAGGAGTAATAACCATTCTGGAAAGTGTATTAAACTGAAAAACAGAGCCTAAAAGAAATGTTACTTCTAAGATCAAGTATGAAACCTGCCACCAAATAAGTACTTATATTACTTTATGTGGATTATTTGTAGAGTTATAATTTCCAGATTAGACATGTTGACTTTAACCCAGATTTATTCAATCTTTTAAAAATAATAAAAACACTTTTATTAAACACTTCTATTGAACACGTTTAGATAAAATATCTTGTTGAGTTTAAAAACCCAAATATCAGTGACCTAGTGATAAAAATGGGAAAATAATTTGAATCTATTTTCATGGTCTATACATGCTGACATGAAAAACGAACATAATAGCCATCTTCTAAACTGCATGTTTGGGTATCACAGAAAATAGTAGGAGACTGACACACTGATACAAATAATCATAAAAATGTCACTCTACATGATCACAAATACACATATTATTTACATAATAGACTTTATACTCATGTTTTATGCTGTATTTCCAAAAATTATAAATATCTCAGATAAATTCAATAATTTTATATTATACTTTAAGGAGAAATGAAAATGTATACGATAAAAGTTTGACATTAAAGCTGACTTTTCATACTTAGGACATAGTTAATTTCGAAAGGAACACTTCAACTGAAACAATATTAAAGGTAAAGGGTATGTCTTGATAAAATGAAATCAGTAAGAATTATTTAAAAGAAGACTGGAAAAAGCTCCCCTAATAGCAAGCTTTGCAAAAAACTTTTAACTATTCCCAATTCTTTCATTTTAAGATTGTCATCTAGGTGAAACATTTAGAGTACATATGTACTACTTCCAAAGGGCCTTTTGTATCAGATCTCAAAGTAAAAAATAATTTTAATCCACTTTCGTTCAATATTTAGGTCACACCTCAAACTCATGTGATAGATCTTACTTTTTATAAGGTAAAATTGCCAACATGAAAGCTCTTAAAATTCTTTAGTTTGAGATATTTCTTTCTCCAAAATCTATAAAATAAAACTTTAGGTTTACTTTCTATGTCTGAACACGACTTTGACTACAAAATTCAGTTCAGTTCTCTGCATATGGCAGATGACTAAGAAGCTTGCTACAAACCCTTTGTATATTTCTCTTACAACTATCTATCTATGAAATGAGAAAAAAAATTTTAAAATAAAGTCCCTGATTGGCCCCAATAAACTTACTTTTAAAAACTTACATCTAAAGTAGTCTTTGAAGTGACCCTGTTTCTCCAACACCTCCTAGTCTACCTTGGAAAGAATAAGGTATTCCAAAGCAGGAGGGAATTTAACAGGACACAGAAATAGGTTACGCCAAACGGTTGGTCACACATAATCTTGCATAGACTTTGTGCTCAGTAAAATGCGCTGAGATGATGAGGATAAAATGACAAATTAATACAGAGAGAAATCTTTGAAGACAAATCAGAACACTGGAAAGCAAAAAGTGGAAATTGAAAATTTTGTAACATATTCCCCTGAAATGGTACATATTTTCCTCCTTTGAAGAGAAATAGTTGTAAGATACATTCTTCATTTTGGCTTTTCTAGGAAGACAATAATGGCCTGTGCCAAAAGATTTATCTTAAAGTGAAAGTACATGAGGGAAAAGCCTCCTTAAAAATATGTGTATCAAACATACATTGATAAAATTTATTTTCCAGTGTGGGGTAGGGACTAACTCTAAAAGTTAAAATCAACAATTTTACATTTATCTGAAAGGAATCTAAGAATGGATGAGCTTAAACTATTGTCTGAATCATTTAATTGATCTTTTATTTTTAAAAGTTTACAGGTTTTATTGAAAGATATCCAATTTCGGCTTGGAAGATACAGGTTCAAGGTCTATTCTTGATTATTCCATAAACTCTGCTTATAAAATGTTGGTAATTTCAACAAAACCTTAGAAAGTTCTTCTAAAATGGACTTTTTCAACCTACTGAACAGAACTCATGCCTACACTGATGTTCATTTCAGCAGCACTTGCCTCTGTGAAGCACATCAAAATCACTCAAACATCAAATTGCTGATCTGATAGAATGATTTATTTTCCCATTACAGGAAAGTCATGAGTGACTTGTTCTGAGGTATGTTTTTGATCTATGAAGGACATCTATTAGAAAGCTCCACACTTGAAGGTTTCTCTTTATGGCTGGACAGTCTCTGCAGGTACTAGGTTCCCTGTTGTATCCAACTGCATGCATTTACATGTGCATGCAGACACGGGGCACTCTGCATGGTCCCTAAAAAACAGGTCAAATAAACAGTTAAAAATCCAAATTATACAGACATACATTTATTCATCTATATCTTTTTTTCATGCACCACCATGCCCAGCTCTTTATCTACATCTTAAATCTATCTATAATGCAACTTTTCAAAATGGCATTTGGAAAATACAGGAATTAAAACCCAGAGGAAAAAAGCATTAAAAGTATCAAATTAGAAATGACTGCCAAGCTGAACTTGTGGGAAAAAGGTACTGAAAAATGAATAGCTTTACTTTCTACACATATGGCAAGATATCTCATGCACAATTGTGAAGACAAAAGGGATGTGCTCAATGTTTCAATTTAAGCTAATGAGACAAACTGGGCATCAATGTTATACCAGTGAGGAGCACAGGGCCACTGGTATTTTTCAAAATAAAAGTTAAGTATGGTCTTGACAGTCTCCATTGCATGAGGTCCTTGCTAGCTACATAACAAGCTTACTTAGAAGAGAACTGAGACAGCAGTTTGATATGTACCTTATCACTGCATTTATAATTCAATTACATGATATTCAGTTTTAAAAAACTATAAACATATTGTCTTCCTAAATAAAGTTAACTGATGCTAATCAAACATTTAACTCATATAAAATATTTAAACTATTTCTTACATAAGTATTAACTTTATAGTTAAGATTACATAGGATATCTAATGACGAAAAGGTGATGACACCATCTTTGTTAACTCAAGTGACGGCAAAAATAAAATTTATCATTTGGCTATATGTTAACTGACAAACCTGAACTATTTAAAAGCCATCTGCTTTATCTCCTGTAATACTAAGCCTGTTAAAGAAGGAATATGCTGATTACCTGAACCAACTAAGCATATGTCCAGCATGCCCACCGTGCCTGCAGTTATGACACCATGTAAACCAGTTGTTAAATTGAGCTAACTTTTTGTCTTTGCTCAAGTCCACTTTTTCATCTGATTTGGATCCTCCTAAGGGAACATAAAATGATCTTCATAAACAATATCACAATATTTCATTTTATTTTTCAGACAGGGTCTCACTCTGGCACCCAGGCTAGAATGCAGTAGTGTTATTACAGCCCACTGCAACCTCAAATTCCTGGGCTCAACTGATCCTCCTGCCTTAGCCTTCTAAGTAGCTGGGACTACAGGCACGTATCAGCACCCTGGGCTAATTTTTAAAAACATTTTTGTTAAGCCAGGGTCTCTCTATGTAGCTCAGGCTGGTCTCAAACTCCTGGCCTCAAGCGATCCTCCACCTTGGCTTCCCAAAGTGCTAAGATTACAGGTATGAGCCACTGCGTCCAGCCAGTATTTTATTTAAAGTTACTTAAGGCCAGTGTGGTGGCTCACACCTGTAATCCTAGCACTCTGGTAGGCCGAGGTGGGTGGATCACTCAAGGTCAGGAGTTTGAGACCAGCCTGAGCAAGAGTGAGACCCCATCTCTACTAAGAATAGAAAGAAATTATCTGGACAACTAAAAATATATATATATAGAAAAAATTAGCCGGGCATGGTGGCACATGCCTGTAGTCCCAGCTACTTGGGAGGCTGAAGCAGTAGGATCGCTTGAACCCAGGAGTTTGAGGTTGCTGTGAGCTAGGCTGACGCCACAGCACTCTAGCCCGGGCAACAGAGTGAGACTCTGTCTGAAAAAAAATAAATAAATAAAATAAAGTTACTTTAAAGGTATTTCTAAAACTATGTTCAAAATATAAATCACACGTCATATTGAATTAGGAATTTTGATGCTGGGATTTAATTTATTAATAGATGGAACAAATACTAAATAACAGGAGTTCCCCTACATTTTTAATAGCCAATAAAAATGGAAAATATCAATTTTCAAAACCCACTAAGAAACAATGTGAATTTAAAACTTTAAAGAAACTAAATCAGTAGTTTAAAATCTTTCCACAAGGAAAATACCAAGCCCAGTTTATAGGTGAGTTTTCCCTAACATTGAAGGGATAAGTAATCTCATCTATACAAATTCTTTCAAACACCAGAAAAAGAGGAGGAATTTCCCAATGCATTTCAGGAGACTGGCATAACTTTGCTAATAAAAGCAGACAAAGATAAAATGAGAAAGGGAGATAATAAGCCAATCTCCCTCCTGAACAGACACAAAAATCCTAAATAAAATATGAGTAAACAATCTTGCAATATCATAATCCTGATTCAGCAATTCTTCTAGGTAAACACACTAGAGAACCTTTTGGACATGTCAAAAAGAGACATATACAAGAATGTTCATAGCAGTACTATTCGTAACAGTAAAAATATGGAAACAATCAAAGTATTCAACAGAAGAGTGCAAAAACTGTGTTACAGTCATGAATGGAACTCTAAATAGTAGTGAAAAACAAATAAACTACAAGTACATTCATGAGAATAACTAAAATTAAACATCCCAAAAATCCAACGTTGAACAACAAGGCCAGCCAAGGAATACATTCTGTATGACTCATTTATATAGAATTTAAAGCACAGGCAAAACTAAATGTGTGATAAAATTATACAAATAAGCAAGAGATTGATTAACATACAATTCAGGATGGTGGTTACCTCTGGAGAGAAAGAAGAAGGTATGACTAAGCAGGGAGGAATGACCAAAGGTACTGGTATAGACAATGTCTTAAGCAAGTAAAGGCTTCACTGATGTTTGATTTATCATAATAGATGATATATATATACCCTTACCTGTGTTACAGTTAACAAAAATTTAAAGAAAAATGTGCTATTACACAGGCATATTTATACATGTACATCTTGTCACATCTTTATGTAACTTTCAGTGTTCAAAAAATACTCATTCTATTAATTTTGGCTACCTCAATATATTCTTTTGTTCCAAAACAACAAATCAAATTAAAATATTTTAATATGTCATATAATTAGAGATAAGAATAGAAAAACAAATAAGTAAAAATACTATGTCTAATTAAGCAATCACTACCTTTTAAAACATGTTGCATATTCAAAATTTCGCTTGGACCATTGCTGGTCACACTTTGACAACAGGGATAGTCTTTCAGGTAGGGATAGTTTTAAAAATATCCATCTGTTTTTGCCAGTGATACAGGGTGAAAGGACATGTAAGTAGTTCAAGGATTTAAGATGTATTAGGTTGATGCAAAAGTAATTGCAGTTTTAGCATTGTTAACATTTGCCATTAAATATTGGAGTACATTCTTAAATGTGGTTATGTTATATATCATTTCAGTGTACATTTCTTGCTTTATGTTTTTTTGCTAATGACTTATTACTTGCTGTTTATTTTATATTTATTTTAGACTATGGAAATGATGTTAGACAAAAAGCTAATCTGAGTGATTTTCCTATTCGAGTTCAAAATGGGTTGTAAAGCAGCAGAGACAACTTGCAACATCAACAACGCATTTGGCCCAGGAACTGCTAATGAATGTACACTGCAGTGGTGGTTCAAGAAGTTTTGCAAAGGAGACAAGAGCCTTGAAGATTAGGAGCTCAGTGGCCGGCCGCAGGAAATAGACAACGACCAATTGAAAGCAATCATCGAAGCTGATCGTCTTACACAAGAAGTTGAGAAGTTGCTGAGGAACTCAAGGTTGACCATTCTATGGTCGGTTCAGCATTTGAAGCAAACTGGAAAGCTGAAAAAGCTCAAAAAGTGGGTGTTTCATGAGCTGACTGAGTATCAAAAAGATCGTCCTTTTGAAGTGTCCTCTTTTCATCTTGTATGCAACAACAATGAACCATTTCTCAATAGGATTGTGAGATTGTGATGTGCGACGAAAAGTGGATTTTATACGATGGACCAGCTCAGCGGCTGGACCAAGAAGCAGCTCCAAATCACTTCCCAAAGCCAAACTTCTGCATCAAAAAAAGGTCGTGGTCACTCTTTGGTGGTCTTCTGCCAGTCTGATCCACTGCAGCTTTCTGAATCTCAGAGAAACCATTACATCTGAGAAGTATGGTCAGCAAATTGATGAGATACACTGAAAACTACAATGCCTGCAGCTGGCACTTGTCAACAGAAAGGACCCAATTCTCCATGACAACGCCCCATGCACGTCGCACAACCGTTTCAAAGGTTGAACAAATTGGGCTATGAAGTTTTGCCTCATCCGCCATGTTCACCTGACCTCACGCCAACCAACTACCACTTCTTCAAGAATCTCCAAGCAACTCGAAAACTTTTTGGCAGGGAAAATGTTTCCACAACCAGCAAGATGCAGAAAATGCTTTCTAAGAGTTCACAGAATCCCGATGCACTAATTTTTATGCTACAGTAACAAACTTATTTCTCGGCAAAAATGTGTTGATTGTAATAGTTCCTCTATTTTGATTAATAAAGATGTGTTTGAGCCTAGTTATAATAATTTAAAATTGATGGTACAAAACCGTAATTACTTTTGCACCCACCTAATATACTAAATTAATCCTAAAAGCTTCACCAATAATAATGAGAGAAAAAAGGAAAGGAGGAAGAGAAAAAGGGAGAAAAGATAGATCTTATAGAGACACCATTTTATACTTTTGTGTAAAGCTCTCATTGGTGATTTTCACTGTTTCTGTAACTTCTATAATAACATACACAGAAAACAGATTGATTCTAGAACAGGCTAATCCTTATATTTTTCTAATGAAGCTGGAAATATTAAGGTATACCTCATTGCCAAGTAAAAAGGCTTCCTAAGATCAAATAACTTTACAGTGAATTATGAAGATAAGTGCTACAGAATAATTGAGGGAAACTAGAGTTTCATTTATGCACTAATAGTATGAGGAGAAAGAAAGAACCAGTATATAACCTTTTAAAACATATGCCACTGTCTAGAAGTTAAGCTCTGTAAGGGCAGGAGGAATTTTTGTCTGGTTTGTTTGCTGTAACATTTCTAGCACTTAGAACAATAGATACTAAATAGACATTTGTTGAATAAGTAATACTTATAATGTTTACAATGATGTTAATTAGAACTGTTTTAATAGAGTTCTTTAAAGCACAATTGAGTATAAAAATATGCAACTTCTAGTTAAATAAGCTTATAGAAATCCCGGTAATTTGAATCATGAAGCATGATGGATGGATGCAATCTCTTATTTTTTTTTTTGGAGACAGAGTCTCGCTCTGCTGCCCAGGCTAGACTGCTGTGGCGTCAGCCTAGCTCACAGCAACCTCAAACTCCTGGGCTTAAGCGATCCTTCTGCTTCAGCCTCCTGAGTAGCTGGGACTACAGACATGCGTCACCATGCCTGGCTAATTTTTTCTATATATTTTTAGTTGTCTGGCTAATTTCTATTTTTAGTAGAGATGGGGTCTCACTCTTGCTCAGACTTGTCTCGGACTCCTGACCTTGAGTGATCCTCCCACCTCGGCCTCCCAGAGTGCTAGGATGCAATCTCTGATTGCAGGAAAAGCACCCGGGAGTTTGGATACCTGAGCCTTTAAACTGCCATTAGCTAGCATTTGATTTCTATTAGGTCCTGTTTTATTTTGGAACTAGGATGCTTCTGATTTCACGTACCAAAAAGAATATGTTTATTATTCTCTAATTAGCTTAGCAATGCCTTTAAAGATCATATTCAGGCTTTCCCTAATTATTCCAGACTGTTTCCTACCAATCCACTTCCTAGGTCCTTGTCACACTGATGCACCTGATACTTCCTGTACACTCCCTGTATTTATCATACTTGCCAATCTCTTCATCCCAGTCCATGTTCTTTACTCTTCGTCTACAACCTAGAAAGGCTTCCCTGAAATCCTCACATAGGTAAATCTACCAAACTTTAAAGGACCAGCTTAAATGGTACCTTCTGCCTGAAGCTTTCCAGATATCCTTAAGGTACACAAGTAATGTCTCCCTCTTTCAAAATTCCTAACATTTTCCTTATATAATATCCCTTATTCATCCTGGTGGTCTAGATATGCTTCAGAAGCTAGAATGTTTTGGGATTTTAGAAAAATAGTAAGGAATATATAACACCTCTATGGAAATCTGAGGTAGCACCCTATTATCAAACTCATTAGTATTTCTTCAGTGAAACATGAATATTCACAAATAAAAAAGAAATAATAAATAACATGTAAGATCTTAATAGCCTCATGCCAATTCTGAACAGGTTTTGCTGCCAAATGAGATTATTGTAAATTCATTTTTAAAAAACATTGGCTTTTCAAATCTTTTTAGATTTCTGAATGACAGATAAGGAATTACAGATCAGTATTTTTTAAAAATATCCCTTATTTTATGTTAGTTATCTTTGCTTATTGCACATAAGCTTCACGAGGTTCTCTGATTGATTCCTCTCAGCACGAGTCTTATCTTAATGTATTAAATAAGTGCTCAAATATATACTAAAGAAATTATTTCTTAAGTAAATATAAAAAAATTTCTAAAATATGGAAAAATGTTAAGATTTGATAAACTTGAGTTCTGAATAGTCATTATATTAGTCATTGTAGCAGAGAGTTTGATATGTTTTAATTTTCTTCAAATACTAGAAAATTATTTTTTTTTACCTGTAGAAAAGATTGAAAAGCTGGTATCTAGCAAAAAGGAAGAGCACTGACGTGTCATCAGAAGGCAAATAATCCTTATAGCTTCTGAGACTTATGATCCAAAAGATGTTTTACATTTAATTATTTCTATGTATCTCAGTTTACATAGATATATGACTTATTTACTATGTTTTACCTCTTTGTTCTCTCATTGTAGTAGATATTCCAAATTGTTATTTTCTATTTAATAGGACCAGGGTAATTATAAAAAATTGATTGGTATGCAATGTATAAAAATCCTTGACTAAAATTTAAATCAAAGCTAAAATGTACATTGAAAAACATTACATATCGCCTTCATTTGTTAAAAAATAAAAAGCATCCAGATCAAAAAATAATTACTCAGCTAATGATAGATACCAGCAAGTCTTTCACAAATGTTAACGTAACAATAAAGCAGACTATTTACATGAACAAGTCGCAGAACAGAATTATAAAATGTCAGAAGCACAAAGGATCTCCAGTCCAACACTTACATCAAAGAGGGCTAAAGTAACTCTCTATGTCACAGAGTGAATGACACAGAGCTAGAACACAGAGCTAAAACAAACATTCTAACACTCTGTCCAGTTCCTTATTCATCACGCCAGTGTGCTAAACACCCAAAATGTTTTTAATCAAACTTTTGCCATAGTATCATTTTCAAGTTATGTAAATAGCTGGAATATTCCCAGCCACCAGGTACAATATATTCAATTATCTACTATTCTCAAAAAAATTTTCCATATGTTTACTGTAAAGAGTAAAAAATAATCTTAATATTTCTAACCATTAAAAACAATCTATTATGTTTACTGGATAACTGACAAACATAGCAGAAGCAGCATCAAAATCTAGAAGTCAAGGGATTCTAAGTTAATACGGTCTCTATGTATTTCACAGGTAGGTTCTGAAGATGAAATAAAAGGAAATGTCAAAGTATTTTGGGACTATCAGAAGCTCCTTAGGAATACAAGGTATCTATTAATATTACAGATATGGGCACGCTGACTTTTAAATATCAAATTTGAAAGAACTCCTTTTAGCAGAAACAGTGATAAGAAAATAATATAAATTTAAGAGTGCTTCATATTTAAGCTTTTCTCACAAACTTTAAATTTGTCAGCATTTGTGAAATTACCTGAAGTATCATGGATAAAGAACTCCTCTTAGCAGAAACAGTGATAAGAAAATAATATAAATTTAAGAGTGCTTCATATTTAAGCTTTTCTCACAAACTTTAAATTTGTCAGCATTTGTGAAATTACCTGAAGTATCATGGATACAGAATTACTTTTAATATATAGATGTTATAACTTACAGGAACATAAAAACCTTCAAGCCAATAAATTGCCCTTTCTTAGAAATAACATAAAACTCAAGCTAGTACGTATTGTATTTGCAACATTAACTAACTCAGTTATGTAGAAACAGCTCAGAGAAGTGTTTTGTAGAATCATCTCATACCAGGACAGCTAGAAACAGGTGTTCCCATATTAATGAGGCAAAGTGCACATCGAGGAAGTGGTTTTCGACAGCCGGGACAACTTGTGACTTTAGATTTTGTTGGTGAGCCACTCACACCATACTGACTGAAACCTCTGCCCTGATGAGGCACAGCTGAACAGCTGTAGGAGATTGATTTGCCACAGAAATTGCAACTCACAAACACCTATAAAAAACAAATGAAAGGAGGAAAAAATGTAATGGAACCATAATGGAATGATAAATAAAATTTGATCCTAACAAATTATTTAAAAATAATTTTTAAAACTTCATTTTATACTGTAAATAATTTATCTCTAAGCTTGACTAGCTCTCATTTAAAATCTCTACTTAGCCGTTACATTATTTGGGTACTTCCTTTCTGCTACTTTTGTTCAGTTATATTCTTTCTAATAACATTGAAATTGGTAGGAAAACTCAGAAACTTTATACCCCAACATTTTAAAAAATAACAAGGACTTTAGAATTCACACTGGGCCATTACAAAATATCCCAATATGACTTCTAAACCAAAGTTCAGTGATAAAATCTTCTGAACAAAATGCTCTTCTAAAGAGAACACTCTGTTACTAAGATAAAAAGGAGTTAAGGATCCTGTAATGGTAAATAGTTAAAATTTTATAATAATAGTAACAGTCCATTTTGCTTTTATAGTAAACGCCTAGGTTCTTAAGTACTTATTATATAGATTAGTAACATATACTACCATGTAATACTATTTTACCAATACTCTGGTTCTAATGTAAGCACTAATTTCTTGACTTCCTAAAATAAGAAAATAGCACCATCCAGTGCTCATATTGAGGATAACCTAATATTTATATCTGAACTAAGACACCGCGATTTCATGTCATATGCCTATGTAATAATTGATCTCATTTTTTAAACTAATGTTAAAAAAGTTTCTATGTGTAATTTGACATGATATATGTATATACTGTTAAAAAAAAACCTAAATGCTGCTTTATTGCATATAAATAGTGCTGAAAAACTTAATACACAAATGGAATTTATAAAATTATGTAATAGTTTAGATTCTGAAAGGGCTGGGAATATACTGGAAAACTTCAGACAGCCCTAGGATTGATTTAGGGCTGCCTAAGATCCTCTGGAATTGTTATAGTTTGTTCTATCTCAGACTATAGCTCAAGCTGAGATGATTGTTGGGAAGTAGCAGAACCAAACAGGAAAATCAAGGAAAAAATACAGTCTAGAATAGAAAAAGACATCAACGGGAACTCAATATAAGTAAAAGAATGAGCTAAAAATTATTAAATCGAACTTTAAAATGTTTTAATCTGATTCTCTCCGAAACAATGCACTTACCTGTGCTAAAGGCTTGGAACTCGGATCCAACTTACTCCTGTGAATATCAAATTCAGCTCGTTTGTGCCAAAACCTCCAGGCATCTAATAAATTTCTATAATTCTCAATCCAGTACTGAACTCTTTCATCTTTAAGGACATCTAAAGGTGAACCCTAAAAAGAAAACATGAATTATTTCAATTGTTCAAAATTTTCTGGCTAAGTCAAGGGGATTTTGGGTCACATGGGTATGAGTCACACACAAGAAATAGCCCCCTTCTTGCCAAAAGCTGGCTCCTAATGAGGATACAGATAAAACTGACGGAAGCTCCATTAATCTAACTTAAGCAGGCCTTCACTAATGACATAAATATGTACTTTACGTATTATACCTGGCCAGGGAGGTGCAATTCTCCATCTTTTAATTACATTTAAGGAAGCGGGAGCAAACAATTCATCTTCATGATTGAATGCAGTCAACAGTGATATGAATACTCTTTGTCCCAACAATTAAAACCTCTGGGTTCACGAACTCTGTTTACTATCTAATCCAAATGCACACCAAAACTGCTCAGTCACATTTAAACTAATACTTAGCCTGGTCCTTTGTATCTAGTAATGCACTGTGAACCAAGATGCTGCTTTTATTAATATATACCTACTTATCTGTAAGTTAAACCTGTCTGTTCTCTCTTTTCTTCAATTAAAATATACATTTGCTACCTTAATAAAATGGTAATAATAATAATAATAATAATAATAAAAGAAAAATAAAACCCAAAATTTTCTTAGATCTTTTGCTGCGAGGCCACAGTGAAAAGCAACCGTTTTACTTAAAGTCACTTTAGAGTTCTTCTCATTAAGAAACTCGATTTCTTGCCAGTAAGAATTTTCCTAAAGCTGTATTTTCCCCAGTAGCTGTGATATTCCACATTTCATCTATGCTTGCTTTGGGTTCTTACAGAAGGCTTTTAGTTCAGTCTAGGATATTTTCCTTAACTTTACATGATGGAGAAAGTAGAGAGAGTCTCTACTTCCAATGACACCTTGGGCATGAATTTGAGGCCCAGTTTTCTCAGTCCTACTTAAGGGCCAGATAGAAAAGCAAAACGTTAGAGAGAACTTAGTAAACATCTTACTTATGGAAAAAGAACTGAAACTTGTAACAGCTAATATAGACAACCTATTTTTAGACATTCAGTCAAAACCAGAAGAAGCATATCTTTCATCTATTAAATTGGGTGTTAATTTCAATTACCAGAGTTAAATTTAGCTAAAAGAACATGTGAAAAACTCTTAGTTTACAATTTCACTTCTTAAAAAGTAGAGGTCTACTCTAGTCCTAATTATGATCAAGTAGGCAGAACTAAGTACTAAAGTAGTATATAATCCCTTGTTTAAAAAGAAAATTCACAGAAAAAACAAGATGTCTTCATATCCCTATCTTTCCTATTCCATGTCTGGAAGGGGATAAACTAAGAAAGAATTTGGTCAATTCATATATAAGTCTTCTCTAGATCTGCCCTAGTAAAGTCTAAAATCAAGCCCCAGCATGATCTGTAGGGAAGACAGTTCAGAGATTGAGTCTGACCAAATTAGAAGGGCACGGTAATACTAACAGTCTGGGCTTTCCACATGTTTACAGTAACAAAATGGAAGACTAAAAGTGATCAACAAGTAACTGAACTTCCAAAAGTAATAATCCACATTCAGAAAAAGATAAAAGAAGCCAGATCTCCATAATGTAGTATATACAAAGCCCAATAGACAATAAAAAAAGAATCACTAGATGTATAAAGAAAGAGGTAAATGTACTTGAAAGTAAAGGAAAAGGGGGGCAATAGAAACTAGACCTAAAATAGCTCAGATGTTAGAGTTAGCAGATAAACTCCAATGCAGCTGTAAGAAATATGTTCAAAGAACTAAAGGAAAATACTGTTTAAATTAGTGGATAGAAAAGGAATCTGAACAGAGAAATGTAAACTATAACAAAGTTGAGATACTACAACTGAAAGGCACAATAACTGAAACTAAGAGTTCTCTGGAAACTTAAACAGCAGATAGAATGTGACAGAAGAATCAACGAACAAATAAGCAGAAATTATCCAATTTGAAGAACAGAGAAAAAAAGACGGAAAGAAAATGAACAGAGCCCCAGGCAATTATGGACAATATCAAGTGATTTAATATACACGTGAAAAGAGTCCAAGAAGAAAAAGAGAATGAGATTGGGGAATTAAAAAAAATATTTAAAGAAATAATGCCCCCAAACTCCCCAAATCTGATGAAAAACACTGATTTATAATCCCAGAAGCTCAATGAACCACAAGCAGGACAAAAAGAACTACAACTAGGCACATCAGGGTCATACTGCTAGAAAATCAAAATAAAATCTTGAAAGAAGCCCAAAGAAAAATGAAACATGACATAGAAGGAAACAAGGAATAGACAGCTGACTTTTCATCAGAGCTAATAGAGGCTGATGACAATGAAACCCCACCTCTTTAAGGTGCTGAAAGAAAAAATAAGGGTGAAACTCACATCTATAGAAAGAAATAAAGAATGCCAGGAATGGTAAATAGTGAATAAATACAAAAGCCTATGTTTTCTTTCTTTTCATGATTTACATAAAACACAAATGACAAAAGACAAATCATAACACTGTTAAGTTGGAATTTATAATGTCTGTAGAAGTAAAATATATGGCAACAGGACAAAGGAGTGGGTATGTAAATGAAATTACACTGTTGTAACATTTGTGAAGCATGAAGTATTAAGTGTAAAGCGAAACTCAGAAAGTATCAGGTGTGAGGTAAGAAAGGGAAGGGGTAAAGTGGGAAGCATGATTTGTGAGGTGTGAAATGTGAAGCATAAGGAGGTAAAATATTGACTTTGGTGAATTAAGGATGCATATTGTTAGACCTAGAGCAACACTTAAAAAAAAATAATGAAAGGGGTATAGCTAAAAAGCAAAGAAGCAATAAAATTAAAATGGAAATATTTTCATGGAATTATTTAATTAACCCAAAATAAGGCAGGAAAGGAACAGAGGAACAAAAGGAAAAACTGGAAAACAAATAGCAAGACAGTAGACTTAACCTTGACCATATAAATGTAAATGAAAAAAATTCCAATTAAAGGCAGTGATTATCAGAATGAATTTAAAAAATGTAAGATGTGATTATATATTGTCTACATTTAAAATATATTTTATAAATCTTGATAAGAGGTTAGTAATCCATTTGCTTTCTGTACCCATACAGCTACAGTTTAATTTAAAAGATATACTCTTATTTCAGTAAGAAAAAATGTTATAAAAGGATACCTTTTCTTCCACAGGCAGTGGCTTGATATCTTAGGTAAGTTTACTTTGTGATTTGTGGGCTACTATCTATATGTGTTCACAAGAAGGTAGACTGGGGGCGGGGGGCATTTTACTATGTTTACCCAGCACACAGCACACTATCATATTATGCAAAAGGATAAAGGCAGGAAAGGGGAAGGTACTGACACCATGGAAGGGTAAGATTAGCTGTACGGGTACAAGACATCTCTCAGGAAAATACTGTAAATCTTTATCACATTTCCAGCAAAAGTAAAGTAGAAGATAACCTCTACCCGGAATCTGTTTTTAACTACTAGATAGTAAAAACTGAGAAAATATAAATGACTTGGTTACCCCGAATCACTTCCACTGATAATAAAAAAGGAAAATGAGATTTAGGAGAGCTGTGGTATAATCTGCCTTCAATGCTTCAACTGAGACTGTAGTTCAGATCAGGGAAAGGGAATGTCTTTTGTAGAAGGTGCAGTTCTGTCAACATTGGAGAAACCAAAGAGAAGTTTCTCCTGTTCCATTCGGGCTTTACATAAATTCAGATGCAGTGTCAAGACTGGCATTTCCCCGAGTGAAAGGAAAAACTGGATAATCCAATGAGAAGACTTAGGGACAGTAAGGGAAAGCACAAGTCCTCAGTAGATCAATTGACTAGGTTAAAACTAAACGCTTTCTAAGGATCCTAAGCAAGCAAAGGTGCATACTTACTTTCAATTTAGGGAAGAAAATATAGAGTGTGTCTTTTCTCTTTTAAATCTGTCAAATTGCACTGACCTGTAACATGCAGTAACTTGCTGTTTGGACATCTCCAGTTCTATCAACATAACTCTCCATTAAGTCCACTCCATCTTTAGTGAGGCCTGTAAGCAAAATTCCTTCCAAATTTCCGGCCTCTTTCATTTCGTTGGTCAATTTTTCAATGTATCTATTTAACTGAAAAATTCAAAGTGATTTTCCTAAAGCAGCCTGTTTCACTATATATTTTGTACTTCAAAACTACAACATTTGGAACAATTTCATTCCTAATGGAAAACATTTTAAAACAAAAGCTTTTGCTAAAATCCAGATATGTACTAAGAAGTCTGCATCTATTATAAATTTCAGTGCAGTACCCAACCATTAAAAATATTTTAAAAAGCAAGACATTTATTATGTTTTGATAATTATTCCATAAAAGAATTAGAGATGGTTTACTATTTTAAAGAGAATTGTCCTCATTATTCTGCAAAGTTCTTCCTATCATAGCAGTATATTATAGAATCACAGAATCTGAGTTGGATGGAAACTTGACGATTAAGAACGACCATCTCATTTAGGTCTTCCCTGACTTTACCTCAATGCAAACCCTAGCCAAGATTCTTCTACATTCCCCCAGCACTTTATCATTATTGCAATACGTAGTATATTGTATTACTTATTTGTTTCTATGCATTTCTTCTTCACCATATACATGGTATAGGCATTTAGCAACTGTTCAATATATTGAAAATGAGGAATCCTTTTATAGTATCATTAAGAGGTGAGTTTAATATCTTTATAAACTATTAAGTCAGTATTCTAAAAAAGTAAATTTAGTTATGCTAGACATGTTTATAATATCTTGATCTAATAAATTACTATTAATACTATACTTTTTAGAAGAATTTATATATCAATCTCATGCACACATAATTATACATAAAAATTAGTTTCTTAAAATAAGTGTGACAGTAAATATTAATCACGTCAAATATGGAATTAAATCAGTTTTCACCTGAGTATCACTAAGGAATTTACAAGCAAATGCCACTCTGTCACGTACTGCAACTTTGTTTTCATGCTGGGAAGAAAAGAAAAAAAGCAATGAGTTACTTATAGATGGTATGAGTTTTAAATTTTTGCAAAGACTAAATATTTTATATACCTAATGTGTAAGTTTATTTTCAAATGTGTTAATAAGTTATTGTGGATATCCTGAGAAAGCCAATGATTGCCTAAGATGTCTTTCTTGATGTAACTCTCAGGAAACTGCAAGGCTGTCCTTGCAGAGTAAAGATTTACCTCTTAAACAGTGACCAAATTCAGTTTTTAAAAAATCCAGTTCAATCTTTATAACTCCAACATAAAATATAAGCAGTGATGTACAGTATATCAAATTTAAGATGCCATGTAATCTTTCCATTAAAGGAATTAATTTTGGGGAAACCAAGGAAATCTTTTTTTGGCTACTAAGATAATCAACAAATCTAGGAAATCTGTGAATTGGCTATACCAGTACAGAATTTAGAAAGAATACTAATAGAGGTTTCTAAAAACAAAGTGACAAGTTTTAAAACTTATAAATAAATAAACTCTTGCGGCTAAACTAAAATATTGTTATACAGGTAGTTTGAGGCAAAATTTTCAGAGCTATTATAACTAAAATTTTTGTATACTTGTCAACATCGTGAAACACTATTTTGAAAAATGTTTTCATAAATGTAGAAAGGTGCAATTAATTTTGTGATTAGTAAAAAATAATTTAAAGGTGGAAAAAGATTCAATTTCTATTGAAATCACCCTATGAAATAGTTTTCCTTCTTGAAACATAAGATCACTTCAGTTGAAACTATCTTAGTGTTTTTTAAATGATAAATTATG